AGTATTTTCACAGTTACACGCGCTGGCAAGGGTCCCCTATCGACAGCGGACCCTTGCCACTTGCAAAGGTTGGCGGAGCTGGCCGTTCGAGAATTTCAGGCCTGGAATATAACGATCCATGACGAGTTCCCGGGTAGTACCGTCAAGTCATTGCCGAAGGCGGCCGACCCTGTTCAGGTGATCAAGATCGCCGACATCATTGGACGTTGGCGTGCGCGTGGGAACGGTCACCACAGATCGCCGAGTTGTCTCGGAAAACGTCAGTAGCTGTCGTGCCGGGCGAGCATATCGCGCGGGATCGATCCGCCGCACGCGGCCGTTGCGCGTGCCAGGTATCGGGACCGAGAGGCGCCGGCCGCGTCCTCCGATCCATCGATGCGCGTACGGTGTCGCAGGCGATGGCGTGTGACGGTGGGCGCGCAGCGTAGAGAGCAAGGGCTAGCGCCAGCAGATATTCGCAGGTTGGGAGGCCGCCCTTCCACCCGGGGTCTTGGTGGTGACCGTGCTCGCTTCGCCGCCGAGATCAGTACGCCGGGACGTGTGCCCTCCAGCGCCAGCTCGGCATGGGCCGCCTGCCGAGGTCGCAGCGCTCTCCCTGAAGGTGGCGCTCCGAGGTTCACCACGTCGAGACCCTGGTCCGGGCTCTGGCTCCGGCAAGCGCAAGCGCGTCCGCGGACGTGCGACGAGCCATAGTCGGTCCGGGCGAGGCAGGGCGTCCGGGCTTCACGGTTTCCCACCTGCCCGTCCACGCGCCGTTCGTGCCGACCTCGGCATACGGGATTTCATATTTCACATAGCGGCCGGCAATCGCGAGGGCGTCGGAGCACGAGGTCGGATCCGCGGACTGTCGTCCGAACGATGACGTGCCGGTCATCCCCGGGCACGATCCGAATGGCCAGGTGACGACACGGCCGGCGCGGCCGCGGCGGCGAGCGTCCCCCTGACGGCGGGAAGGTGCTTGCGCATGCAGTTCATCTCGCCGATGGGTGCGTCCGGCTTCCAGCAACACGCCGGGATTGAGGACTCGTTTGCCATCCAGGTTGAGGCAGCCCTGGCTGCGGTTCCACAGGAGCGCGACGCAGCCTCCGGACAGGAGAAACAGCAGCAAGTCATCGAAACCCAGACAGGCGGCGGGATCACGGATAGTAGGAAGGGGAGGAAATGTCAAAGGGGTCAAAATAAAGCGGGAGAGGAAGAAGGAAAGGAAGCGGTGGATCAAAGGCAAAGGGGGCGCGCTGGGCTAGAGTGGGCGGTAAAGACGACGAGCAGAGTAGGAAAACGAGTGGTGAAACAATAACGGGGAGGAGGGGGGGATGTAAAAAAACAGCGGACGTGGGGACGTGAAAGTAAAAATCAGCGAGGGGAAAAGTAGAGAGTAACAGGAGAACAAACGAGACAAAGAGAAAGGGGAGGATGAACGGAGCGGGAGTCGGACAGGTAAGGCCAAAAAAGAGGGGAGCTAGAAGTCAAGGGGAAGGGAAGCAGGGTGAAGGAGTGGAAGGAGAAATAGGAAAAGAGAGGGTAGGAACTGAAACAAAGGGGAGAAAGGGGTGGGAACGCAAAGCTAACAAATCAGTGATTGTAACAAAGGGAACTGGCTAAAGCGGGACAAAAATTCTGAAGGAAGGAAAAATTTGATCAGTGGAGGAAGAGAAAATAAAAACGGCAAGGAAAAAAATAAGGGAGAGGCAGCAAGCGTCCTGTCCCCCCATCTCTCAGATGTTGGCTGTTGCTATAGGCCTGGGTGGTCCACTGCATTGTCCAGTGGACTGCTAACTAGTTGTAAAGTAATCAGAATGGACTTACAATATTCCACACTTCCTGGGGAGTGGGAGGTGACAGAGTGTCACATGAGAATGGAGTATTGGGTAACTTAGTGCCATGGCCTCCAAATGGAAGGAACTATTCACCTCACATAACTTGAAGGATCTAGACAGTTTCTATGGCAGGCCCTGCCTTATTTGCTAGAACCTTCCTTGGTTAGAATATGCAGTGTGTTGAAGAGCACCTATTAATTGGGAAGTGAGGGAGGGTGGGATTAAGAAGTTGATGTGCTAGTAAAAGAATAGCAAGTTCTCTGCTTGCCATGAATGGTGTTTGTTAGTGCATCGCTGGGCCTATGGCAACTTTGCATTTGGAGCCTGCCGCTTCTGGGGACACGCTTTGGTCTTGCTAATCTAATCTATGGTGTGCAAAGTCCATTCCTTAGGCTTGCTATCACCACCGTCAGCTATTGTTCCCTTTAATTGGATTAGGGAGTATCGGTTTCTTGCTGCAGCAGTTGCACTAAAGTGGTCAGCTACTAGCCAAGAACTTCAGTGTGGTTGCAACTGTATATACCTCTCTTGCATAGAGTAAGAGAAAAAGCTGAGCTTTTTGCCTTCTTGATGAGTAAAGAAAACTGTTGAGTGGTGCAGACAGTTGTACCATTCAGGATTTACTATTGATATAGAGGCATAAACTCTGCAATAATGATAGTGCAATTGTGGCTGCAATGCAGAGCATATGAATGGCCAGTGTTAGCACCTGGTAGCGGAGATCACTGGTAAAATGGAGTGAGAATGAGAGTTCTGTCCCTCATGGGAGTGTCTTCCCTGTGCAGGTTGCTTCAGAGAAAGACTTTCTTGACGCGGTGAACAAAGTCATCAAGGCCTATGCCAAGTTTAGCTCCACCCCTCGCTACATGACATACAACTAACTCATTCAGCTATAATAATAGCTTGGGTGTATATTGTACTATGTCTGTAGCGGCCAATACTTTTCCCTGCTTATACGAGCTGTCTGATATTATGTCTCTGTTTTTGGTGGTCGCTCGCGTCATTTTGTGCGCATGCGCCGCGAGCGCTGCGGTAATCGCGCTCCCCTCTCGCGGAAACGCACGCTATAATTATACCTCCGCGAAGAAAGAACATCCAGATTCACGCTTTCTCCGAGTATTGTTTCACAGCGGACAGTGCTGCCAGAGAACTTGCAGCGATAAGGGTTCTGTCGTTATTTCAATCCACGTATTCAGCTGAGCGTTTGCAGAACACCCCCCGCATCGACCGCCGGACTTCCACTGCACCCGCGTTCAAGAAGATGAAGGGAGAAGTAGTACTCCTTGCTGCGGTTCTTGGTCATTTAGTGCTGTCCTGCTCCGCCCTTCAACCGTGGTGGTAAGTCCGCATAATCAGATCCACCGCACTTACCCTATAGTTTATACAGTACGGGTGCCGGTGTGTGCGTGCCGGTGTGTGCCTGCCGGTGTGTGCGTGCGTATAATAGGAGCACGTGGAGCGTGGTCTTCAAAAATATTTCCCTGAAATGTTCATCCAATTTCTTTATCAGTCCCATGTGTAAAATTGAATTGGCATAAACAAACGGGAGGGAGCCATGATGGTACATTCAGTGAGTGGTTTTGGACCAATTTTGGGCTGAGCAGTCCAACTATTGGGGCTAGTGGTTTTGCTGATCATAACTATTTTTAGAGATTGAATTTGGGTTTAGCCTCACTGGTGCACACTTCCGTTATGGTGTGCTTATTTGCGCACCTTCTGCACCCTTTTGTCCACAACACCTCAACGCCTGAGGGATATGTTTACTTAGCCTAGTAATTTACTGGCTATGCCTGGTACACAGTTTACATAGGATAGCAATTTACAGTAGTGTGTGTGTGATTGCCACACAGATATTGAACTGAGTTATGTATAATACCTTAGTTTCATAGTAATAGTTGCCACGCTGCCTACTTCTGTGTGTTCTCCTAGTGCAATGATCATGCCAGGTATCCTACATGAAGCACAACAAAGTAGGAACTGCTAGAACACTTGGCAGAGACTATAATGTATATACAGCAAACATCTGCAGTACACATAATGCTGTTTGACTACTCTCTGTGTATTATATTACGGTTCAGAATTTGGCTATACTCTAGTCCCCTGTCTCTCCCTCCCTCTTTCTCAAAGGTCGCTGGGGTTCGATACATGTGCGACGTCAAATTCAAACTGCTCCAGATGTGCAGATACGCATGTCTTTGATAAACACCAAGAGAATCTCTGTTCGCGACACGGGGAGACTGAAGTGGTCCGGGCCATGTCTCGAGGGATCCTCAATTGTATCCGAGACTGTCAGCAACAGTTCTCTAACACGCAGTGGAACTGTACCACCTTCAACGGAGAATATCTCTTTGGGCATTTCATCGAAAGTGGTAAGTGTGGTTTTCGGGCAGAAAATTGCACCAAAAAAACACGATAAGTTTACAGTTGTCTATACACACGTTCCATTTTCTTCCTCCCTCCCTCAGCTACGAGAGAAACTGCGATGCTAAACGCCTTCCTAAGTGCAGGAGCTACCCACGGGATTGCCTCGGCATGCCATAAGAGTACAATAGACGGCTGCCCGTGCATTGCCGACCAAACGAAGAGAGAGGGCGGAATCACTTATCTGCAGAAGTGTAACGACAATGTCCAGTTTGCCGTCGATTTCATGAAGAACTTTTACGGCATCGAGGATTCCACGGATGAAGCTGACCTGGTGAACAAGTGGAACAACGAACTAGGCTATCAAGTAAGGCGTTATTATAATACAGTGGAGTCTCGTTCTATCTTTGTAGCTGTGTATGTAGGCATAATTGATTAAGAGAGATAAGTCTTAAGTGAAACCTGGGACAAAGTAAGAGATCATACCTCTTTATTAAGATCTCTTTCTTACACGTTAAAAGTTTTACTTCCCCCCACAACTCTATCTCACTCTGCAGGCTGTAAACAATCGGTCAACATACTGTCGTTGTACCGGCCTCTCTGGCAGTTGCGTCGTCCAGACCTGCTACGAGCGGGCTCCCTCGGTTGACGAAATCGGCCAAAAACTCAGAAACAAGTACTCGGCATCGCAAAAAGTCGAAATGTGCGAAAACAGTCTCTGCATAGCCGGGAATCAAGAAATATTACCAATCAGTGACTTTCCAGTGCATGTCAACAACACCCCCAATCTCTGCCTTCCTTCGCCGGAGAACGGGATTTTGGGGACGAGGGGGCGTGTCTGCAAGCCGAGTAGCAGTGGAACGGATAGCTGCAGTGCACTCTGCTGTAACGGTGGGTTTGAGCGGGTTCGCTACGAGGTGCCGAGGGAGGAATGTCGGTTCGTGTGGTGCTGTGGAATTCACTGCGAGCAGAAAGAGCCCGTAATAATCACGGAATATCGCTGCTTGTAGAGATGGCTACCCTAACAGAACTCCTCACCTTCTCTCTCTCACTCTCTTTGCTTATCACCACTCCTCAGTTTTGACTATAGTTTCTCTCTTGCCCATTAACCTTTGGTGCTATAGTCCAATATTATGTTTTTTTGGTGTGTAAATCGCGATTTTTGGTTTATCATACCGTCACCAGCCACACTGTACCCACCATTATTTTGTATAATACCTTCAGGCCTCTTACGTCATTATTCGTTCTAGCTAGCTAGCTAGCTCTGTGCTGCGCGCGCACCGAAGAATTTATGCGCATGCGCGTTGAGGTGCGCGGAAAAAAAGCCGTGCGCGCAACCGGCCAGACGGGGCCAGCATTAGCGTTGGAACGGTAGGGGGCTTTCTATTGACACTCCATAGTGTGCCTACTAGCTGTTGGCAGAGAATAAGAAACGCCGTGACCCTACAGTCAATACGTGTAGCTAGTGCCATGTGGTGTGACATATACGTACATCCCTGGCTGGTTGCTGCTTTTGTATATTAGATTAGTGAGCGAGTTTGTAGCGTTACTACACCGCCCTCAGTCCCTTCTAGTACTACAGTTGACATCTGGTTTGGTGTGTGTTTAGCTGGTCCCGACTCGTGTGTGCTCGGAAGAAACCTCACATCAAATTCATATAAAAATTTCCAGAAAGCTGGTAAAATAGCGTGCATGCAGAGTAGTAAGGTGCATTACGATTGCGGGTGTGTGCGTGTAATTAGTCGTGGGCGCGCTGGCAACGCAAATTGCAGGGCTGGCCTGTGGCGGAGCGCAACATTGTTATTTTGCCGGACTCTGGAACCGCGGCGAGTGTTTTGTTAGCTGGAACAGTGAAAGCCCCATTTCCGCTGTAGAGAAACGGGCAGGCTAGAAACACGAGTTCAATTGTCCCGAAGAGATTGAGCGCGGGAGATCGCGAGGCAGTGTGTTAGCCGGACTATAATATCTTGCCGTTGCAGTGATACGGGTTCTGTATTGGTTCGCCTCAGCTGACTGCAAAACTTGGCGGGGGAGAGATGAGAAGAAAGGTCGTGTGCTCGGTACTGGTTGTCTTGTTCCACTTTCTGGTGTTCTCCAGCGCCTCCCAGCCATGGTGGTGAGTGCCGTGCGCGGTTCAGCGCAGTTCAACCTGCTTGGTTTAGTCGTAGCCATCGGTTCTTGCTGGCGTTTTTGTAACTAGAGACCTGGACAGAGCCTGTTATTTGCGGGGGCGACGCCAGTGTCCCGAGCGCTTCTGTAATACCTACTGAAGTGACTTTCTGTCGGGCTGTGTATTGGTTGTGAAATATTTTAGGAAATACTTTCCTTTTTTTAAGGAACTAGGAAGATAGCTAGTTGGCGCATGGAAGTGTGTTTTGTTTCCTCCCCTTTCACTGCACTCCCCCAAGTTTCACTTTCTCTCTGCGCTTTTTCTCAAGGTCACTTGGATTTGATAGGTGTGCCACTGATCCAACTAATTGCACAAACTGTGCCGACACACATGTGTTCAACACCCACCAAGAGGAGCAGTGTTCGAGGCACGGCAATACCGAAGTGGTGAAGGCCATTTCTAAGGGAGCGCTCGATTGCATCCGACAGTGCCAGAAAAAGTTTAACAACACGCAATGGAACTGCACCACTTTTAACGGAGAGTATCTTTTTGGACGGTTCATTGAAAACAGTAAGCAATCTAGAGCAAAACCAATCTAGTTTTGTAAGCCCCCCTCAATATTGTCTGCATGGGTAATATAAGCCATTAGTGATTATTTACATAAGAGAAAAGTAAAACTTGGGACCAAGTTAGGGATCGTACCTCTGTGAAGATCTGTTTCCCTACACACAGTTAAAAGTTTTACCTCTCCCCACAACTGTCTCTCTTTTCCCTTACTATACTCACAGTTACTCGAGAGACTGCTGTGGTAAATTCCTTCCTGAGTGCAGGGGCTGCCCTTGCAGTTGCAGAAGCCTGTCACACGGGTGTCATTGATGGGTGTCCGTGCATCGCAAGCACCAACTATCGAGACGACGACACTACATTTCTTCACCAGTGCAACGATAATGTGGAGTTTGCTATTGGGTTTGTGAAAAATCTCTACAACCTTGAGAGATCCACCACGAAAGAGGATGTGGTCACCCGGTGGAACAACAAACTAGGCTACGAGGTGAGCCGCGAAAAATTTTCACGGGGTCAAAATTTTATGGACATCTGATTAATGAGCAAGTAGTAGTGGTAGATTTTACATGTAGGGATCCCCACTGTAGGTGTAGTCTTGCATGGCAAAACTCAAACTTTTCTCTCGATCCCCTCCCTGCTCTACCTTCCCAGGCCGTCAACCGCACCTCAACCTACTGTCGCTGCATCGGTCTCTCGGGCAGCTGTGTCCTGCAAAGTTGCTACCAGAGAGCTCCCACGATCAGCGAAATCGCCTGCGAGCTACGAAAGAAATACGATGGCTCGCAGAAAGTCGTGGAAGTGGACTCCAGCCTGTACCTCGCGGGAAACCCCGATATAAAAGCACTCCCCGACTTCCCTGTTCACCTCAGAAACACTCCAAACCTCTGTATTCCTTCTCCGGAAGACAATATCCTGGGAACCAGGGGGCGCAGATGCGAACCGAGCATCAGTGGCCCTGACAGTTGCAGCTCTCTATGCTGTAACAATGGGTTTGAGTCGTTCACTTACGAGGTCCCAGTTGAGACATGCAGATTTGTATGGTGTTGCAGAATAGAGTGCGTCCTGGAAGAGGTTATTACAAAGACTGGATATCGCTGCCTGTAGAAAACTCCTAACTCTCCCTCTCTCACCCTCGCCCCACTCATTTGCCTTGGATTGGTTCTGAATTGTTCTTTCACCAGCCACTTACTACTCCATTCACAACCCTGCCCGTTCAGTACCGTTAACGTCATGATTGTATATATGTTATCTCATACCCAACATGCCATTATACTGTCAGTGTTTTCGATCGACTCTGGAATGTTTACCGCCGCGGGCGCAAATGTGTGCGCATGCGCAACAATTTTTGGGATCCGCAACTGCGGCGTCGCGCACGCGACCCCGACCTGTCACACTCGCCTCTGTACTGTGCGCCACGTGAGTAGGGGTCTACTGTACTAGGGGGACCGAGTGGCACAATGTTGTTTTGTCGGACGCTAATATATGGAGCGGGATAATCCAAGGCGGGGCGTTCTTGAAAAAGTTACGACCGGGTTCTTCGGCTGCGGCTTGTCGCGGGCTTTGAGATGGAGCGTTGAGTTAGCGCGACCGTCGCGGCAGCAGTTGTAAGGATTCAACACTTGGATATCTGTCGGTGTTGGATTTTGCTAGTCAACATCACCAAAGATGCGAACCCTTTTGTTACTTGCAATAGTTATGTTTCTAGTCCACCAACTGGAGTGTTGTGGTACATGTCAATGTCATCATGGTGGTAAGTAGCTAAACCCCTTGCAGGGACGGGGATAGCAGACGCGCGGGCTATGGTTCCGCGTGTAATACACCAGGGTCCAGTAGTTTATGCTTTACACGCTTCGTGGTCGAATGAGCCAACGGTGGATTTAGCCCCCATTCTAACTGCACTATTGTATAGACTGGCTTCCCCAGGCAGGTCTCCTGCGCAAATTCGATTTTTCATTTTCCCCTGCCTTTTGCATCTCTTTGTTACTTTTGCTTTTGTCGACATTTTCCCCTTTATCCTTTCTTCCCAGGTCACTGGGGAGAACAAACTGCTCCGTTAGTTACGAGGGCTGTCCCAATTGCGAAGACACTGGTGGTTGTGAGTATTCTGGCCTACTGTGTAGAGGGCTGCGGAATGCGATTGGAGCCTGCCAGAAAAAGTTCTCAAACACACAGTGGAACTGTTCACTGGGTGAAGAGCACATCTTTGGATCTTTCGTGTGCAATAGCTGTAAGTTTGCCTCTGATTTTTTTCTCTGGTGCAAATAGCTACTCACGCAAGACCGTGTAGGTTAGTTCAAGCTGGCAATCAGCACATGCATTAAAAGTCCCAGTGTACCACAATCAGGTGGAACGTCCAAAAAGGACTCCTCTCTGTAGTGGTTCCACCCCAATACTAATAATGTCAATTTATCTCAGAAAAATATAGTGGAGCCTCCAAAAGACCCAACTAGGAAACTAGGACACCTCTATAGTGGAGATTTTGTTTTGCCGCATAACATTAGATCCAAATGAGTGCCCCTTATTCAGGAGCACCATGTTAATAAAGTATAATACCACTCACATTCTTCCATCTCACAGTCACCAGGGAAACTGCCATAGTGGGTGCCTTACTAAGTGCAGGGGCTGCCCTTGCAATTGCAGAGGCCTGTCACAAGGGTTTAATCTATGGGTGTCCGTGCATCGCAAGCACTAACTATCGAGATGACAACACTACATATCTTCACCAGTGCAACGATAACGTGAGGTTTGCTACTCGGTTTGTGAGAAATCTCTACACCATGGAGGGATGCACCATGGAAGAGGCTATGGCCAACTTGTGGAACTACGAACTAGGCTACCAGGTGGGCCAAAAAATTTTTCTTTTACTGGGTCCAAATTTTCATGCACATATTTTTTCTGAAACACAGGTAGTGGCATGCAGGGAATTAAATTTGCATCCCACAAGAATTCCATCCCCACAGAATAAGTACTATACTGCAGGTGTATACGCAAGACTTAAACTTTTCTCTCGATCCCCTCCCTGCTCTACCTTCCCAGGCCGTCCACCGCACCTCAACCTACTGTCGCTGCATCGGTCTCTCGGGCAGCTGTGTCCTGCAAAGTTGCTACGAGAAGGCTCCCACGATCAGCGAAATCGCCTGCGAGCTACGAAATAAATACGATGGCTCGCAGAAAGTTGTGAAACTGAACTCCAGCCTGTACCTCGCGGGAAACCCCGATATAACAGCACTCCCCGGCTTCCCTGTTCACCTCAGAAACACTCCAAACCTCTGTATTCCTTCTCCGGAAGACAATATCCTGGGAACCAGGGGGCGCAGATGCGAACCGAGCATCAGTGGTCCTGACAGTTGCAGCTCTCTATGCTGTAACAATGGGTTTGAGTCGTTCACTTACGAGGTCCCAGTTGAGACATGCAGGTTTGTATGGTGTTGCAGAATAGAGTGCGTCCAGGAAGAGGTTATTACAAAGACTGGATATCGCTGCCTGTAGAAAACTCCTAACTCTCCCTCTCTCACCCTCGCCCCACTCACCCTAGCCCCACTCATTTGCCTTGGATTGGTTCTTTCACCAGCCACTTATATACTACTCTCCATTCACAACCCTGCCCGTTCAGTTTCGTTACGTCATGATTGTCATACCATACTATACTGTCAGTGTGGTTTATCGACTCTGATCTGATCTGGAATGTTAAGCGCGGGCGAAAATGTGTGCGCATGCGCAACAATATTTGAGCGCGCGGGATCGTCGGCGAACCGCAAACCATGCCCGTTCACGAGACGAGAGTGAGGCTCTACAACTTTGCACGAACGTCAACAATGCAGTTTGTTGTTTTGTCGAGCGCTAATACGATTAGCGGGACAATCCAAGGCGGGGCGCTCGGGATAACTCGCATAATTTGATTATCGCCTGCTCGACCGCTGCGGCTGCGCTATAAAAACTTAGGGACCGGTTTCTACAGCTGCCGCTTGTTGCGTGCTGCAGTTTTTCATAAATCGAGTGTTGAGTTAGCTCGACCATCACGACAGTAGTTGTAAGTCGGTGCTGGATTTTACTTATATACCGATGATGCGAACTCGAGGAGGCCTTTTGTTACTTTCCATAGTTTTGTTTCTTGTCCTCCAACTGAGGTGTTGTAGTACATGTCAGTGTACATGTCAGTGTCCATCATGGTGGTAAGTAGACCTATTTTCTTGCATGTATTAGTCTTATAAGTAGCAGTCCAGAACTGCATTAGACGCGCGTGCTATGGTTTCGCCGGTATAATGACCCCGCCGTTGAGTGCTGCAATTATTATCGCAGGGGTGATAGGTAAATAAAGTGGTGTAGCACGGCGGATCATATTGCTTTGCAGGCTTTTGGTTGAAAAATGTGTGAGCCAAGAGTGCACTGTACTATTGTATAGATAGGTCCTGGTATAATTATTATAGGCAGGTCTCCTGCACAAAGCTGATTTTCTCCTTCCCCCTGACTGCTGCAACTTTTGATTTTGTCGACATTCCCCTTTTCTTCCCAGGTCACTGGGGAGAACAAACTGCTCCGTTAGTTACGGGGACTGTCCCAATTGCGAAGACACTCTTGTGTTCAACAATCCTCAGGAAAAGCACTGCTCTCGTCACGGAGAGAAAGAGGTGGTGTGGGCACTGTCTAGAGGGCTGTGGCATGCAATTCGAGGTTGCCAGGAGCAGTTTACAAACACCCTGTGGAACTGTGCGCTGGGTGAAGAGCACCTCTTTGAAGAATTCGTGTGTCATAACTGTAAGTTTTCCTCTGATTAAACCCAGTGCCGCCTGCCCTACCGTACCCAGTGGAAATAAGGACAGTGAACACTGAAAGGAAAAAAGAATAAGAAAACACTGCAAATTAAGGTGGACATTTGTTTCTGTCCCAAAATAATACATTATAGCCGAATGAGGGAGATATCTCAATAAAGGACACTGATGTCTGCCCCCCCGCCCCTCCCAAAGTGTCCCTTATTCAGTAGCACCACAATCCCTAGTAATTCCTCTCACTTTCTTCCATCTCACAGTCACCAGGGAAACCGCCGTAGTGGGTGCCTTCCTAAGTGCAGGGGCAACCCTGGGAATTGCATCAGCCTGCCACAGAGGAGTCATAGACGGTTGTCCCTGCAACACTGGTGAAAACCGCAGAGAGGACGGAACTACCTTCCTCCATACTTGCAATGAAAATGTCGATTATGCCATTCGTTTCGTAAAAGAACTCTACAATACCGAGGATTGCGATATGGAGGTGGATTTGGTGAGAAGTCACAATTACAGACTGGGATATGAAGTGAGTAAGCAGCTTGGTATAGTGATTATGTTTCATTGTGGGGTAATTAAATCAACGTCTGCAAATTTTGTTTTAGGCACTGGTTTCGTAATTGCACAATAGCCAGTGCATGTAATTTTTTATTACTCATTTGGCGAGTTGCTAGCTATGCTGTCTGTTTGCAGCAGTTGTCCTAGCAATTGTAAAACTAGACGGTTTTTCTAATTCTAAAATGAGCGTGGACCACCCAACTGAGTTTATTACTAGTCCTCTTTCTTCTCTTCTCCCTCCCATTTACCCAGGCTGTCAACAAGACCTCCACCTACTGTCGTTGTACCGGTCTCTCTGGCAGTTGCGTCGTCCAGACCTGCTACGAGCGGGCTCCCTCTGTTGACGAAATCTTCAGCCAACTCAGACGGAAGTACGAAGGCTCGCAGAAGGTCGAAAAGATAAACAACACGCTCCATATCGCAGGAAGACCAGACAAAACACCTCTACCTGGATTCCCGGTTTACCTCTGCGATACTCCCGATCTTTGCGAAATTCAGGACACCAGGGGACGCGTGTGTGACCCCCACAGCAGTGGGTCGGACAGCTGCAATAACCTCTGCTGCGGAAGAGGTTTCGAGGAAGTTCACTACGACATCCCCAACGAAAAGTGTCGTTTCGTCTGGTGCTGTCGGATCATGTGCACCTCACTCCCACCTACGCCTGCGATACTGTATCGCTGCTACTAACTTTTGTGATTGTGATGACTTCAGATATCGATTCATGCACATTGTGAGATATCCCCCAGTATGATACTGTACTGGTATTATTATTATTATAACAAATACTCACTTATTTTCCCAGTCAGATACTCCCTCTTTTCCTGATTGGTTCATTTTTGCTATGCATTGCCTATAAACCACCTCTTCAAGATATTGTCATTGCTCTTAATTTTGTGCAATTTTTGTGGTGGATAATTGATTTTTCTTGAGTTTACCCCAGTTGTTATCATACAGCTAGTTTCGACAAACACTTGGCTTAATTGCTTGCTTGCATGCCAATAATAATATTAACGCATTATGCACAGCTGTCTGTCAGATTCACAGACTGTCATGTATAATTATTATTATATTATACAATTAGGTTATGCACTGTTTAAAAAGAGAATAAGATAATAAGTGTGCATAATTCATATTCGAAACAAACATGTACAATAGCTACGTACCAGAACAAACGTGGGTTTTAGTTATCATCTGGTACTGTATTATTACAGTAAGAGCAACGAAAACATTGTGACGTCCAAATTCTTAAGATTTTTTTAGAGATCGAGTGGAGCGTCGTCTTCAGTAGGCTCCGTACTGTACAGTGGTTCATCAGCATCTCCATCTTGGAGGGAGGGGGAGAGGGGAGGGAGGGGGAGAGGGGAGGGAGAAGGAAGGCAGAGTATAATACAATACCGGCTTAAAACTATAGCCAAATGCTAAAATTATGTGCAGTGGCCTGGAGTTTAAAAAGACAGAATCTAGTTGCCTCCTCCTGCACACTTGTCTAACAATGCTTATTGATACTTCTTTTTCACATGTCTTAAAGATTTGGTCCCCTTGGCAAAGCTGAAAGGCTAAAGACAGACAGGGACAGGGTGCTATAGTAGACACCTTCATCAGCGAAGAGTTCGATCCTGTCGTCTGCTCTTCTCATTCTGACGTTACTGTAGCCCGTCTTGCTGTATCGTGACCTGAGGGAAAAAGGAGAAGAGGAAAGGAGGGGGGAAGATGATGTAAGAGCAAACTACAGCCCCTCAGAAATAGTGAGAAAGAAACAAATGTAGAGGATGTTTGGGATATTTTTGTACGTCCATCATTCCACCAAATCACCAACTGTCCTGAATGCGAGAAGAAACTTACGACATTTTCCAGAAGATAATCGCCGTGGCAACGACCATGAGAAGAATAATAAGTATACCTCCAACGACACCACCCACAATTGCACCGACGTCCGATGAATTGTCTGCAGGAAAGATTACAGTGGGTTGGGAGGAAAAGGGTTAAAACATGTCCTAAAGCAGAGGGTTAAAACTGTGTAGGGTTAAAACATGCCAGAAAAGCAGATGGTTGAAACTGTGTAGGGTTAAAAACATGGCAGGAAAGCAGAGGGTTAAACATAAAGAAGGGATGAGGTGCATTGGCAAGAGAAAGTTGTATGTAAGATTGCAGATTGGAACAAACGATCACATAAGAGCTAAAATTTGGCTAACATTATTGCAATGGGCTCTATAAAATGTGACCGTTCACGCGAAAAAGTGGTATATAATAAGTCGGCAAAATCGATTTTTAGTGAAAGCTCGAAAAAAAAATTGCCGACTTATACTGCTTTTTCGCGTGGACAAATTTTAGCCTTCCCAGAGTCACTGACCGTTCTTCTGTGATTGAGAGGTGCCGCCACTACTGCAGCTTGGCGGGTTGCTGCTCCATGTGCCGTCTTCCCGACACGTGATTTGCTTGTCCCCGTCGAGAGTGTATCCGTCTTCACAGGAAAACATGACGACTGCGTGTACCGAGTTGTTGCCCGACGAAGCCTTAACGTGGCTCGATAGTGTCAGTTTGGGGCAGATGGCTGGAGATGAGGAGAGGAAGGAGAAAGAGGGTAACTTGTTGCTATATTGTGTCGAGAGACGAGAGAGAAAATGTGTAGACATGAAAAGTAGAGACAACTTCGGCGACAAAGATCTTTCGCGAATTTCATGGTAACTGTGAAGTACTTTTTCGTGTATACTCACCGGTTTAGTGTGCCACGCCCGGCAACTAGTGTTTTAGTGTGCCACGCCCGGGAACCAGTGTTTGCGAAAAGTTTGTGGAACACACAACAGTTTTTATATTGTGAAGTTGTCAGTTATCGAGAGAGAGAAGAAGAAAGGAGAGAGAGGAGATGAGGAGAGAAAGATGAAAACCTGACTTACTTGGCTTTGTACAGGATGGTGCGGATGCGTTCCAGGCACTGGTACTGAGACACGCGAGGGCTCTCTCTCCATTCAGTGTGTAGCCTTGCTCACAGGAGAATGAAACTACGGTGTTGACGGAGCTCTCTTGGGATGTGACCAGCACGTGATCCGACAGTGCCAGTCTTGGGCAGTTGGCTGGAGACAGGGAGGGAGGGTTTGTGAGAGAGGGAAGAGAGGAAAGCAAAAGAGAGGGAAAGAGAGAAGAATAGAAAAGCAGCAGAGAGGCAAAGAAGGAGAGGGAAAGGGGGCAAAGGGGCCTGAAAATGGATTTTGCCCCCTGAACAAGACCCCAGAGAAAGAATAGTAGAAAAAGAATAGTGTCAGAACTACAGCCTGGGTTAGCTTGTTGCCCCCTCCCTAACATAGACCTAAAGTTGCTCTCACTAAAATAACATGAAGAAAGGGAGGAAAGGGAGAGGAGGATTAGAGGGAGAGGAGGAGGGAGAGGAGGATTAGAGGGAGAGGAGGAAGGTAAGAGGAGGAGGGAGAGGAGGATTAGAGGGAGAGGAGGAAGGTAAGAGGAGGGAGAGGAGGATTAGAGGGAGAGGAGGAGGGAGAGGAGGATTAGAGGGAGAGGAGGAAGAGACAATAGACGTACTAAGAGCTTTGCAGGATGGCGCTGATTCGTTCCAGACACCGGTACTGAGACATGTGATGACTCTGTCTCCATTCAGTGCGTAGCCTTGGTCACAGGAGAATGAAACTACTGTGTTGACGGAGGTGTCTTGGGAGGAGGCCTTCACGTGATCCGAGAGCGCCAGTCTTGGGCAGTTGGCTGGAGGTAGGGAGGGAGGGAGCGAGGTGCATACATAGTTTGTGGAGGAGGGAAGAGAGAGGAGAGGGAAGAGAGGGGAGAGGGAAGAGAGGGGAGAGGGAAGAGAGGGGAAGCGGAGAAGAGAGGGGAGAGGGAAGAGAGGGGGAGAGGGAAGAGAGGGGAGGGGAGAGGGGAGAGAGGGGAGAGGGAAGAGAGGGGAGAGGGAAGAGAGGGGAGAGGGAAGAGAGGGGAGAGGGAAGAGAGGGGAGAGGGAAGAGAGGGGAGGGGAGAGGGAAGAGAGGGGAGAGGGAAGAGAGGAGAGGGAAGAGAGGGGAGAGGGAAGAGAGGAGAGAGAGAGGGAGAGGAGAGGGGAGAGGGAAGAGAGAGGAGAGGGAAGAGAGAGGAGAGGGAAGAGAGAGGAGAGGGAAGAGAGAGGAGAGGAGAGGAAGACGAGAGGAGACGGGAAGAGAGACGAGAGGGAAAGGAGGCGAGGAGAGGGAAGCGAGAGGAGAGGGAAGACGGAGAGGGGCGAGGAGAGAGAAGAGAGGGGAGAGGCGCAGAGGAGAGGGCAGAGTGGAAACGAGAGATGGAGAGCGGAAGCGAGGAGGAGAGAGGGAAAAGAGAGAGAGGGGAGAGGGAAGAGAGGAGAGGACGAAGAGAGGGAGCAGCGGACACGAGAGAGGGAGAGGGAAGACGGAGAGGGATGAGAGGGAGAAGCGAGGCGGAGAGGGAAGATGAGGGGAGAGGAAGAGAGTGGGATGAGGGACTGAGAGAGAGGGCAGAGAGAAGAGAGGGGAGAGGGAAATGAGAGGGAGAGGAAGACAGAGAGGAGACGGCGAGAGAGAGATGGAGAGGAGAGAGAGAGAGGAGAGGGGAGAGCGAGTGAGAGGGAAGAGCGGAGAGGGAAGATCGAGGAGAGGATAAGAGAGGGGCGTGAGGGAGAAGAGAGGGGAGGACGAAGGGTAAGAGCGGGGAGAGGGAAGAGAGAGAGAGGGAAGAGAGGGGAGAGGGAAGAGAGAGGAGAGGGAAGAGAGAGGAGAGGGAAGAGAGAGGAGAGGGAAGAGAGAGGAGAGGGAAGAGAGGGGAGAGGGAAGAGAGGGGAGAGGGAAGAGAGAGGAGAGGGAAGAGAGGGGAGAGGGAAGAGAGAGGAGAGGGAAGAGAGGGGGAGGAAAATGAGAGGGGAGAGGAAGAAAGGGAAATGCGGGGGTTCTTAAGGGGGTTCCGATAATTGTTCCATAGGCCGGACCCTGAGAAATAGTCTATAATGCCCGTCCCGAAATTGTTCTACCTGAAAATCGATTTTGCCCCCCTCCCCCACCATATTTTTCAAAGATCTGATTTGTGTCAGCTGACATTCAAAACGCGAGACAGAGATTAAAGACGAGGAGTGACGAGAGCGAGGAGAGAAAGAGATATTAATAGACGGAACTATGGCGGGTCTGTCCTGTGCAGACTAGCAGCCTGTTTGACCGCTGCAGGCACCCGGATCGCGACACGCTGTCATGACGGCCTAGACGCGCATAATGTGCGGAGGAAACAGTCAGGGCGCAGCTGAAACTGAGTTAGTGTGCGGTACCGACAGTTGTACCAGATCCTCGAGAGCGACGCCGTATAACTATGAACGTGGCAGTGACGAAATTGCGAGAGTATCGATGGCACAGAGAGCACTGCTGAGAGAGAGAGAGAGAGCAGGCGGTGGGAAATACGCATAGCAACAAATCGGTGACCATACACAGCTGCAACATTGAGCGTGATAAAAAGTACATTAGAGCGCTATGAGGGGCTTTACTTACTCCTTTGATGACTATCTAGTGCATAGTTGGTGATATCTAGCTAACTTGTGATAATCTAGCAGTATATCTTTCACAGTAATCTTGTGTTATGCTGATATTGACTACAGATTATACCCATGGCCCCGCCACAAAGTGTTCAATTGAAGCACATTGCAAGCAGGAAGTGCTCACATATTTTAGCACACATTGTTAGTACATGTTTAGTCATACAACAACAAACGGCCTATCAGGAGTATTTCCCTATCCGTCACTTACCAGATTCACACATCCCGCAGAGCAGTATGGAGTTCCACGGCACCGTCAAACTCCGCACACGACGCTACGATCGCCGCCAGACTTGCAGCCCGTCGATATTGTAGGCCATAGGTACGCAGATCGATGAGCGTCACGCAGTGATAGAGGCCAGGGGTCGTTCTCCATGAGTGCTCAGACTGCTATGATCAGGTGGCTCGTCAGCAGAGGGCAGCTTGCTGCAGGAGAAAAAGGCGACGGGATGACGCGGGAAAAAGGAAGCTGCGATGATGAGGCCAAACACATGACGAATACCAGCTATATAGTAGCGCTGTGTTAAACGCCATAATTCTGATGCAGGGATAAAATGACAGACTAAACCCATATTAATATTTGATGGTCAGCACTATAATTTTAACCTCTCCACTTTATCTGCTCACCCATGCGTGAAGCTCTATTTGCCAAAGGCCACACCAAACATGATTGTGTGATCTGCTCGAACGAGTCTCACTATAATCATCATCGGAAGCTGAAACACAATACTTGTCAAGACTGCTTCGAGTGTTCTAAACTAGTACATACCCGGCGAGCAGCGCAGGCATGTGACGGCGACCAGTTGCCAGCCGCCAAACACACGACGTCGTCAGTCGGCGCCCTCGCGCGCGACGCTGGCTAACCACCGCGCAGGCACGCCGACACGAGCTGTCTTCTGGTGATACCGTCCGCAAGTGTTAGGGTGCAAGAGGACTCTGGAACGTTCCGTGATGCCGCGAGACGTCTGGACACTACGGCCATCACGTTAGAGGGATGATGAGAATGAGAGTAGAGTATGAGAGAGAGAGGAGCAGCACAAAGATGTAGCCACACATATCACTGCAGCCTCCTGCATGAGTGTGCGCGTGTATGCTATGATGCACCAGTATATTGGAACTACTCCAGTACATTATACACAACCAATCATCTTCTCTCATCTCTCCCTTCTTTTTCGCATCCAGAAAACGGAAGATGGGACGAGAGGAGCCACAGAAAGCGGTAGCAGAGAAGAAGAATGCATTACTGGAGCACGCGACCAGCTGCGCGCTCCTCTGAGAAAGTGACGACAATGTGAACCTGCCCTGCGTAGAGCAGTCGAGGAGGGAGCTACTCGTCTCGACCACAGAAGAAGTCGCCAAATCCAGCAGGACGCCAAGTCCGTACGCCGAAGAAGCCTCTCGAGGAGACCGACGGCGCCGAACTGCAGCCCAGCATGCCGACACACCACGATCTGCATCTCAGCAGATCGTCCCAGCTAGTGCGGCAGTATGATGGGTATCAGGGGAGGGGTGAGGCACCCTTTAAAAATAGCTATCCATACAAGCTGCACACAATACCAGCTAGTGGACGTATGAGTAGATGTTGTGCGGTGGGCTAAAATAGCTTCCATACAAGATTCGCCACACATACGAAACTAATCCCCAAAACACTCCTAAAGCACACATTCACATAATTTCGTTCTCAATACTCCCATACTTCCATTCCTGTGCATCTATGAACTCATTCTCACACATCCGTACACCCATTCCCATATTACATACTTCCATACACTCATTCTCACACATCCGTACACCCATTCCCATATTACATATATACTTCCATACACTCATTCTCACACATCCGTACACCCATTCCCATATTACATACTTCCATACACTCATTCCCACACATCCGTACACCCATTCCCATATTACATACTTGCATACACTCATTCCCACACATCCGTACACCCATTCCCATATTATATACTTCCATACACCCATACTGTGGTACCTGTCGTCACAGATTGTTCCCCACTCCTCATCGTTGTATTGGACCTCCACTCGCCCCGAGGACACGTTGCCTCCATTCACCAGACGAACTTTAAGAGTGTTGGCTGTGTGGGGGGGGGGCATATTATGATGTAATCCGTGAGTTCATATTATTATAGGGCGAGCTACACTATATATACATACACTAAACAGTGTAGTGTCTCATGGTGCCATTATGTTCCTGGTATTAACCAATCCAACCACCCATGCAGCTAAAAGACCCCTCACTCCTCTTTCTTGACTCCCTCTCTCTCTCACGCAGGCAGCGAAGTCCGACGTCCTCGTAGTGGGCACAGTTGTTCTCGCCAATGTCACCATGGTTACAGTCCTGTATGAAGAACTCCTCCCCAGTACAGACGACGTCGTCCAACCAGATGTGTCCCGAGCCCGGACCATAGTCACTGGAATGGAAACACCAGCGTATAGCATGCGCAGTATCAATGAAATTTCACGCAATGTCTGGAGCCTGAATAAAAAATTTACTGGCTGCACCTAAATGCATACACTTTTTATGGAGCATAAATTTTACACCTGGTTGAAACTTTCGCGGGAAGAAATTTCACATAAACCTTGAAAACTGCTACACCTTTCTCCCTCGAAAGTTTCAATATTATGTTTTTGTTGCAGAGATTGAGATGGAGGTTTACAAGTCATGTGACAGTCACATGACTCACTGGAGGAGGTATTTGTGCCCATCGGCTCCGGGGAACCCCAGGGACTTGCAGACGACGCTGGCTTCGTCTAACCCCCACCGATCGTCGCAAACCGTCCCCCATTCGTTGTTGTAGTAGATCTGGAGCCGGCCTTCGTTGATGGATGGTCCGTCGATTAGCTGGACAGGGTTGGGGTTAACTGGGATGGCTTTGAAAGACGTGGGGTGGCGGGAGCGAGGGGTGAGGGGAGGGAACAAGAGAGAGAGAGAGAGAAAAGGGTTAAGTTCGGAAGGGAGCGATGCTATAGTGTACATACCAGCAATGCATTTTTTGCGAGAAAACTACCCGTGTCAGAACTTATTATATCCCACATTACACCAACATACCGGTACATATGGCTGAGGCGTCCTCGGAATGGAGGCAGTTATGGTTACCCCAGCCTGAGTTGGAGCAGGCAAAGATTGTCGTCTCTGTTCCATCGCACTGTACATCATCCAGCCATATCTGAGAGAGGCAGAGTAAAGAGGGAAGGATGAAAAAAGAAGGGGACAGAGGTAGGGCATAAAAACAAAAATGGGAAAGAGATAGTAATGAATTATGGAAGAAAAAAGTAAAAAAAAACTGATCAACAAATTCACACACTGAACTGAATTTTCAACGATATGTAAACCTTTTTTCTTTTTCTTGTAAACTATGCAGCTTTTTTTCTTCGAAAGTAAGATTGTTCTGAGTATCTTTGAATTGGGACCGTGGTAGTATAAACAGGCTAAATTCTAAAAATGGTAACTAATTCACTGGGCCCTATGTCTACCTTTAATTGCCGAGCTGTATTCTCGCGATATGCGTACGTAAGAAGTCGTCAGTAGTCACGCTTAGGAAGTCAATTAGTATCAAAAAGGAGTGTGTAAAAAGCTTCTCGTAAGTCGGTAGGAAGTC